GCTTGGGATCTCTCTTCCGGAGTTAGCTATGGGAATCACACTGTTAGGTGAGGTTGGGGCCTGCAGTTATACTGACTGTGGGCCTCTTATCTTCGTGCCAAATCTGCGCTTGCCATCATGTTACTGGTGCTCTCTTTGAAGTCACTTGGCTTCCCAATAGTTAAGAGTATGTGTGAATGAATTTTGATTGAATTTGAATGTTCGATTTCTGTATAGGCTCCGTACTGTCTGTGCTACATAGCCCGAGGTGTAAAGTTAGTTTCAGTCTAGAGTGTTGTATTTGGTTGATTGTTCTTTTTGAGTGGAGGTGTAAATTGAAATGCCAAGCTGAACAATAGTTCCAGGCAGCCATCTCTGTGTTTGTGTATTTTTCCCAGAGCTCAGCTCAGCTGTCCCCTTTATTTTAAAGGTTGTGAAAAGTCTGGGACTTTGGTCTAGTATTTTAGATGGTGGGGATTTTTGCTCAATCCTACAGACTAGATATCCTAAATAAATCTAGTTCTAATTGCCAGCATCTGGCCCATATTCCTCTAAACCCTTCGTATTCACATACTCATCCAAATGCCTTTCAAATGTTGTAATTGTACTAGTCTTTGGCAGCTCATTCAATACATGCACCACATTCTGCGTGAAAATGTTGTCCGTTAGGTCCCTTTTAAATCTTTTCCCTCTCACCTGAAACCTATACCCTCTAGTTTTGGACTCTCCTACCTTGGGGAAAAGACCTTGGCTATTCACCCTGTCCCTCATGATTTTATAAACCTGTGTAAGGTCACCCCTCAGCCTCTGACGCTCTGGGGGAAATAACCGCAGCCTATTCAGCTTCTCCCTCCAACCCGCTCCTATGATGCTGCTTGGCCTGCTGTGTTCATCCAGCTCTACACCTTGTTATCTCAGATTTTCCAGCATCTGCAGTTCCTACTATCTCTGGCAACAGCCTTGTTGTCAGAAGAAAATTCATTTCAATTGTGTCTTCTTGGGAGATTTGAGGGGTCACCTGGTGCTGGGTCAAGCACTGTTAGCTCAACCTGGGGTCCATTTTGCACCAACTTTGTCCTGCTGGTTATTTCATGAGGTGCCTGCTCTGCTCACAATGCATTTGGCACCCCCAACGAAGGTGCTGCCTGCCTTTGCCACTTCCTGGAGGAACACCATACCTCTAGTTGGCTGCCAAACTTGTCCGTCTATTTACATTTCAGATACCGTCATGAGGGTGATACAGTTCAGGCAAGGGATCATGAGCCAGAATTCATCCTGCTGTTATGTTCCTGCATCTCCTATGAGTTTCTAACTCCATATTTCTCACAATTCCACAGACATCCATCTCTGTCTACAACCTTGCTTCCACTCGCCGTGTTCCTCTGGAACACTTTTCCTATTTCTGCTCAGCTTTAGACCGCCTTCCATTCTTTGGAAAGTCCTTATTAACCCTTAACCTAGAAAAAGTGGTCAACTTTATCCCTGTTTTTGAATGTGATGTATGAGTAATCTTTGCCTGATGACCACTCATTCAATATTTCCCCCTCTTCTTTTCTTGTCAATTTCTTGTTTTCCATTACTTGGTTTTATATTTTTTCCAATCCTATTTCTTCCCAATAGACTCTGAGATCCATAACTCCGTTCTTTCTTCCTGGTGCTGCTTTCCTCCAGGTAGGTCTGACATCTGTAGGGGAAACCAATAATCCTTAAAGCACTCTCATTTTTCATCTAGAATTTATGTTTGAATTGTTCTTCCCATTTTTGTCCTTTCATGTGTCACATCAATCCATTGAACCAATGTTCTGTCGTTTTTATCATCTGTTCTTTCCTTGTTTAAAACTTAAATATAAAAGTATTATGATTAACATCCCATAATTGTGAGCTTATTTCAATTTGACTTATTAATTTCTCCTCATTAATTCACGACTGATCCATTACTACTCATTCACTCGAGTTTTCTTGACGTGTTGTTTAAGAAAAGCTTTTGAAGTACTTCCACAAACTCTGTCACGCAAACAGATTGTCCCCCCGTCAGGTTCGGTGTCAATTAGTGAGATTAGAATCCTGTGTGATGAGAACTAATGCCGTCTAAATGACCTCCAGAGTGATTGATCTTTGCTTTATATTCTAATGACCTATCACATATTCTTGACAAATGTTCCCCTTTTTATATTACAAAATCATCACTAGAGACTGCCAATTTCCAGTCCCTTCCTTTCAGCAGTATAATAATCTGCCTGATGAATTGTACTTTTTGAGATGCACTTTGACCTGCAGATCGTTCCCTTTCCATCTGCTTTCTTGAGTTAGGTTTCAGTTACTTCTTGTTGACCACCAACTCTGTCTGCTGTGAAAACCATCACCTAGGCATTTGTGTCACTCCCCTGGTTTGAAGGTATCCCATTCATTTTAGTTATCCAGTTGCTAACATAAATGAACTTCCTTAGTTTAAGAGAAGGCAATCCCAATTGTAAAACCTTCCTTTTCCCCAGTTGCTCCAATGAGGCAAGAAACATCTTCTCCCTAAACAATCGGGGTGATTTTAACCTAACGCACCCAGCAAGAGATAACAAGGTGCAGAGCTGGATGAACACGGCAGGCCAAGCGGCATCATAGGAGCAGAAAGGCTGACGTTTCGGGCCTAGACCCTTCCAGCAGGCTGCAAGCTAACTTCATCTGGGTGACTTATCACTAAAGTCTGTGTCTAACATTGGCCAAGCTACGTGCTGTAAAGATCAGAGGACCTTGGCACCAGCTTCAGCACTTATCCACCCAAATCCTCCTGCAGGTTAAAGTAGGGGCTGTGTGAATCACCCATTAACGTGCCAGATTTGTCTCTCCCTGAAAAGTCAAGCATATGGCATGGGGAGTAAAGCTAAGGTTATAAGGTTCCTGAAATTTCCTTTGGAGGGCCTTCGTTCTACTTTCATCCAGGACATGACCGTGCACAGGAAGTAAACTTATACACATTAGTACTGCCATTGATAACATGATGGAGAGTCCCTCAGTTTGAGGATGGAATTTGGTGCCACAAGGAATGTGGTCACTCTATGTGTCATGGACATGAATCTATGACCACAAAGGTCAAGGATAGGTGGGTTCTTTCTGTCAGAGATAAAAACTGAAAAGGATGTCCTTCAGAACTGAGTCAACTTTGTCAGCAGCTGTGCCAGCACGCCATTTTGGTGCTGAACATTGAGGCCCCTTACCCTACCCTCCATGCACTTCCATGTGGTGCTCGGTATATAGGAGGGCTGATTCATCAGGCTGACGGAGAGCAGTAGGTGGTAGACAGCAGGATGTTTTTTTCACCAGTGTTTCACCTTATCCCATGATACTGCCTGGCTGAACAGTTTAATGCTATGAGCGAGGCAGTAGGACAGCTGTCCTAATTTTGGCACAGATTTCCAGATGTTAATGAGGGGAGTGACCAGGCAGTCTGTGTCTTTGTCATTTCTGGAGCCTAACTTGGTGCTAGGTGGCTTACCCCGTTTTATTCTTATTTAACTCTCTGCCATGTAGACCAAATCACATAAGGATGGAAAATATTGTTCCCTGAAGGGCATTAATGAAGCACTTGGGATTTTATAATGATCCTGTTGTTCCATAATGATTATTCATGAGGCTAGCATTTGATTCCAGAGTTACTAACTAATTGGATTTTAATCCCGCCGGCTATCATGATAGGATTTGAACTTGTGTACACAATTCTCACTCCCCTGTGAGTAGGTTTTAGGCGAGATTGTCTGACAGATTGAACTTTTCCAATCTCTACTCGCACATTCCTGCCCCTGCCACAATTTAACGTGTGGTGGGGCAGGCATTTGAATGCCTTGTGCCAATTAGCTCATGAGGTGCCTATTTAATGGCCACTTCCCACCTCTGACACTATAAAAGATGTCTAGAAAAATACTCAGTCAAAATCTCACACTGCAGTAAATATTTTCCATTGTGTGAAATTCTGCATTCTTTCATCTGTGGAAGAACAGTGCTGTAAAGGTACAAATTAATTTGCTATTTTCCTCTTTTTATTGTATATTAGGTGGCAACAAAATACTGCTCAAGGTAATTGTGTGAGGATAAATGTCTCATAAATTTGATCCGGGTGGTGAGAGAGGACAGAGAAAGAGCCGCTCAAGAAATGATTACTGGAGTACCATTAGTTAGACCATCATTATAGTCAATAAGTGATGAGTCATTTTAAACTTCTATTCAGAAGGTGGCTGGTCTCTGTTTTGATATCTCTAGGGACTGACCTCCACAAGCAAAGCAGACAGTGAATGAAGCTTGTTTCAGAGATAGTAGGAACTGCAGATGCTGGAGAATCTGAGATAACAAGGCGTAGAACTGGATGAACACAGCAGGCCAAGCAGCATCAGAGGAGCAGAAAAGCTGATGTTTTGGGCCCAGATACTCGACAAATAAAACATCACAAAGGTTGCTTCTCCCTTTCAGAAGTAAATATTACAAACCATAGTGGCTGATCAGTAACAGGAGTCCAATCTATACATATATCCAGGGGTGATGGAAGGGACTGGATGTGTCTCATTATTTATTCTGTATGCATTTCTGAAGAAGGGTCTAGGCCCGAAACGTCAGCTTTCCTGCTCCTCTGATGCTGCTTGGCCTGCTGTGTTCATCCAGTTCTACACCTTGTTATATCAGTGAATGAAGCTTTCCCATTTCTATTACATTGGGCCGCTATCTTACATGCAAGTTTATCGAACAGGGGACTTTTAAGATTATTTATTATTATTAGATTTCCATCTGAGCCAGTTTTCTACAGTAAGGAGTAAGTGATACTCGACAAATAAAACATCACAAAGGTTGCTTCTCCTTTCAGAAGTAAATATTACAAACCATAGTGGCTGATCAGTAACAGGAGTCCAATCTGTACATATATCCAGGGGTGATGGAAGGGACTGGATGTGTCTCATTATTTATTCTGTATACACCATCTGAAAAAACTTAATTGAAAAGAATTGGACTAAAATTCACAATGCATAAACTGTTCTTTACAGGCTCCGTATAGGCGGATGTCAGGAGCTGATGGGACATTGTCATCTCCAAGTCATCAAGGTGTAAAATGTGGATCTAATTCATCGCCACAGAAACCCGAAGCTGTAGTTCATGCTATCAAGGTACGAGTCACTCTCAAACAGTTCAAACAGTTAAAACATTGTAGAGTATGGATTCCTATCATAAATGTACTCACCCAGATTAAAAATAACATAAGTTGTGTTATCATTCAAGCTACAGATAGGGAAGTGAGCAGAGACCTTGCGGTGTGGGCACCCCATCCCATTGACTTGCAACTCTCAAAGGTAGGATGCTGTGCTGAGCTAATTAATGCCCTGAAGGCTACTAGATCCTTGCAGGTCAACTTACTGGTGTGAGGGAAGGCTTACCCTCCACCTTTTCACTAATTGGGTGTTAGCAGGTTCTTGTTACAACAAGAAATTCAAACTAAGTCAAGAGTTATGTTTTGTTCCCAAAACACTCTGCTGAGAAAGAGCAGTTTCAATGAGCTCTTACCGTTCACTGTTTTAACAAGTTAATAACAGAGGAAGGGTCTAGGCCCGAGGCATCGGCTTTCCTGCTCCTCTGATGCTGCTTGACCTGCTGTGTTCATCCAGCTCTACACCTTGTTATCTTAAAAATAACCTCAGTTGCTTGGAATGACCATGCCAGACTGTAGCAGCTACACAAGTGGAGCTTGTGAGGGCAGAGAGAGGAACCTGTGGTATTCATTGAGGCATTGTTCACGGAGGTACAAAGGTGAGACACACGTTTCCACAGTGACCAGGCGGCTCTGGACAAAAGTAATAATGGGAAAGTGAGGTTAATTCCGGAATCTGGCGTCAAAAACTTAGCAATATTAATTTAAGGAGCATGAAGTGGTCAAGGTCATCATTGCAAGACATTTTGTGCTGCATCATTGACATCTTGTATTGTTAAATTTAATGCACCCCCGTTAGTTGTCTCTGCACTTAGGAATCGTGCCTAATATCCACATAATGCACATCACCCTCACGCACCTTCCAGCCTCATATTTCGCTTGCACTACTTTCATATGTCTGCAGCTATTCCGCTGTGGAAGGCACATTACCCAAGCACAGTGCAACACAATTAACGGCATTCTGTTCTCTCTCTTGCAGGACACAATGACACACAATAGGATCTTGCCAGGAATGGAGGGTTTGAGATGCTAGATAGGCTGGGATGTTTTTCACTGGAGCGAGGCTGTTGAGAGCTGACCTTATAGAGATTTTTAAAATCATGAGGGGCATAGATAAGGTGAATGGCAGATGTCTTTTCCCTCGAATGGGGGATTTTGCAACTAGGGGGCATATTTTTAAGATGAGAGGAGAAAGATTTAAGAAGGGCATGAGAGGCAACTTTTTTACACAGCGAGTGGTTTGTATGTGGAATTAACTTCCAGAAGAAGTGATGGATGCGGGTACAGCTACAACATTTAAAAGACATTTGGATAAATATATGAATAGGAAATGTTTGGAGGAGTATGGTCCAAGCGGAGGCAGATGGGACTAGTTTAGTTTGGGAATATAGTCGGCATGGACTGGTTGGACCGAAGGGTCTATTTCCATGTCGTATGTCTCTCTGACTCTATGACTTGTAAATCCTCAGCCCCATGGTAAAAGCTGGTTCTCAGCTAGCTGCAACAGAGCACAAATGGCATCGCTGAGTACAATGACGATGTTGTTATGGTCCTATTTTTTACTCTGCTTCTCAGTTTCTAGCAGGCATCATACTGCTGGTAGGTATGATGGGCGAAATACTGATGGTGTGACATGACCCTCTTGCCTTCTAACTCACCCCTCTTCCCTAAGCCAAACAGCCCTCTTTCAGACTTTATGGTTCCAGACACCCAAGCAGCAACACCTTCCCAGCTACAGCAGCCCGAGGAGGACAGAGAACAACTCCACATCCAGACAGGTTACAAGGGAAACAATGTAATTCACTCAGAAAAGGAGAGGGTAATTAACTGCAGAGCACTATCTGACCCCTACCAAATGATTCTTGATAGAAGTGCAATTATATGGGTTTCAGTGAAGATCAAGATCAGGCTCCTATATTAAGGACACTCATTGTTGAACCTCCTCACTTACCAGCTAGGTAGCAAACATATGGCATTGTGACCGACTGTACAGTAGGAAAATCCCACTCAAGATTCCTCCATCTGCAAACACCACTGATATATGGAGATTATTTAGTCATTCATCTCTGATGACGAGGTCTACTGTGAGTAAAATTGTTGGTATGAGTATCTATTGTACTCAAACTACACAGGGTAATTCATTTTATGTAAAGCATGCGATGATGTTTATGAGGTATATACTTTTTTGGCCTATCAATTCAAGTCTTTGTTTTCAGCTGTTATATTTGACAAATTTTGCCAGGCTTTTCCTGAGTCAGTCCAGGTCAATTTTCAGAAAGATGTACACCATGTCAGTACAGTATATCAGAGCAACATTCAGCTAATGATAACTGTGAAAGAAATATTTAAATGTTAAGGTAGTCCTTCTGAACTTTTGACTATGTTAAGTATCTTATATTACCTATTCTGAACATACATTACATCACAGATTTTTTTTTATATGGGAGGAGAAGTATCTTGGCCTTAAGAACATTTCACCCTATATAGGTTGAAAACTGGAGGAACAGTTCACCAATCAAATGATTAATTTCTCAGAGCAAATGAATATATTCTGCTGTTTACAGTAATCCTTCCTCCCACTACATTTATCAAGTTCTTTTACTAATTCCTTGTCCTCTCAGTCATATGAGCAGTCAGAACAGCACTTTGATATGCTCAGTATCAGTTTACCTGAAGGCAATATATATGTAAAATAAATAATGTGGAGGTGCTGGTGTTGGACTGGGGTGGACAAGGTCAGAAATCACACAATACCAGGTTATAGTTCAACAGGTTTATTTGAAAACACAAGCTTTCTGAGCTTCACTCCTTCTTCAGGTGTTAGTGAGAGAGGTAGTATCACACACAGAATTTATAAGTAAAAGATCAAAGGGTTACACCACTGATGATTGATTAATTGATCAATTAAAACCTTCTAACTGATTAAAGATTTAACAGCATCTTCGGTTTGTTTAATACATCCTCATCAGTGGTGTGATCCTGTGATGTTTTACTTATAAATTCTGTGTGTGATACTACCTCTCTCACTAACACCAAAAGAAGGAGCGAAGCTCCAAAAGCTTGTGTTTTCAAATGAGCATGTTCGACTATAACCCAGTGTGGTGTGATTTCAGACTATGTAAAATAGTGGGTTCATATTTGCTGTTTATCTCAATCTCACCACTTTTACTTGGTTTTCTAGAACAAATGAAATATCAGGTGATTGTTAACAGTGCTAATCTCCGCTAATACACAAATCATAACATGTACCACGTTTCCCACAATGCCTAGTGCTTTCTAGTTTGAAAATTCAATCTCCAGTCTCCTTTCAAATCACTTTAATCTTTTAGAGTGTTGTTTTCATGCAGTGAATACAGCATCTAGATTCAGAATAAAGAATGTCACGTAGTCATATTAGTCTGTTGTTGCAATAATGAAATCACATAGATGAACTCTGCAATGATTCAGTAGCCAATGTATTTTTACTCCTTCACACTCATTCTTGCAAAAAGGAGTGTGTAATTTAAAATAACATTTGAGACAAATTTTCATCTTGACATTCCATTAATCAACTTCAAAACTAAGATATACTGTCATTTGTTTGTCTCTACAATTGTGAATTCTGTTTCCAAACATGCCTAATGACATCTTTTAGATACTGACATATACAAACATATATAAATTCTTGTCATGTGATGACAGCTGTGCTCTACCTGTTTTGCTTCATGCTCCTGCCTATAATATCTTTATTTGCATATTTTTAATCTTAGGTCGTGGAAGTGCATGAAAAAGACAAAGATGAAGACTACGAGAATGACCTGAGTGAAACAGAGAAAGCAATAGTCAGAGAAATGTGTAATGTGGGTAAATTGTGCCACAGTATTCAGCTGTTGCTGTGTCTGCCACCTAACTCTCATTTAGTGGATCCTTAGTCCTTGAAAATGAGCACAGCAAGTAAGGATAAGAATTTAACAAAACACTTGTTATACTTTTATTAGACAGCTTTTTGTAAAAGAGAAAAAGTCCAGTTAAAAAATTAGTTTTTTTTGTTTCATTGCAGGCATAGCAGACATGTTAACACTCTTAGGGTGTTGCTTATAATATTCTCCATACTAATCCAAAAGTATGAACCTAATGCTAACTTCAAATACACATCTTAATTTAGCGTTACCATTGTAATAGGTAAAACTAATTCCTAGTTTTTAGAAACTGGTTTTGGGCAAGTTTAGATTATGAACTTTTCACATGGATTTAAAATCCATACGAGAGACGTTTGTCCTGAGGGGAGTGGAGTTCAACTCCTAATCAAATGTATTTTATAGTCTAGTCATTCCTAAGTATCGTGTAAACTTTAGGTGCCTCAAATATTTACCCAAAAAGGCAATGTTAGTGAAAATGAAATAGCTTCAACATTTTTATGAAATTGACCAGTATGTGAATGAATAGTGACATTTTTAGATAGTTTAATTAGATCTGCATCCAAAGTGATGATGCGTAATCAATGACTCATGACAGTGCATCAGCACTGTTTTACAAACTCTGTCAGGTATTGTATTGATATCTAGTGAACTACCTAGACAAAGCTGTAAGAAACTTATTTTCAAGGGAGTGTTTTCATGAAATGAACGAAGAGTGTTGTTATGATTAAGCAGGCGAGTTTTTCGGTCTGTTGAATACCAAACAAACTCATGAAAATTTGAGAATTTAAATTTTAGGCAAAAGGCAAAGGATGGACTTTTCCAAGAGTAATACAATGAAGAGGATTATGACATTAACACTGCTTGCTGGCCATGGTTCTGAATTTAACAGTGAATAGCTGTCCCAAGCTATCTGCTGGCATTTCTGAGTTTAAATGAGAAAAGAGTAATTGTAAAGGAGACTTACTGTACTGCTTCTATCAGACCCATTCTAAAACAAACGTAGAATATATGAAAAATCCAGGTCTTTTGAGCCAAATGTTAGAATCATAGAGTTTTAGAGACGCAGAGTCATACAGCATGGAAACAAACCCTTCAATCCAACCCATCCATGCTGACCAGGTATCCCAAACCAAAGTCGTCCATTTGCATGCATTTGATCCGTATCCCTCTAAATCTTTCCTATTCATGTACTTGTCCAAATATCTTTTAAATGTTGTAGCTGTACTTGCATCTACCAGTTCCTCTGGCAGTTTATTCTACATAAGAACCACCATCTGTCTGAAAATGTTATCCCTTGGGTCCCTTTTAACACAATATTTTCACACACAGACCTCAAAACGTTGCCCTGTTATTAATATCACTGCTTGCACTTTAAGTGCGACTTACACAACAGCAGTGCATTTGAGAATAGATTTTAGTGTTTTCACAATGCTGCAAACATGAAATGTAAATTAATTGCTAAAACCCATTGCTGAAAGATACTCAGCATTTGGTTGTGAGATCCAGGATTGATAAAAAGTGGTGGACACTGAGAGCCACCCATCTACCCAATCCTCCAAACCCTCTCTTCCTTTACAAGTTCCGCCATTGCACAAGATCTGTCCTGGTAGCACTCACCCATGCTGGGCCATCCACAATCCTGGGCCTCAGATGAGTGCAATTTCAGTAGCTGCTTTCATCTCCCTGGTGGTGCTGTCCTTTAGTGAAGAACTACCAGCTTCTGATTGGCCATAATGATATAGCTCCTGTGCAGTACCTTAAACATTTGGGAATTATCTGAAGGAATTGTAATTCCAGAAGAATTACTTTTAGGTAGCATCTGCTATATCCTCTTACATAGTCATCAGTTTTCAGGTAATGCCCCTTTCTCAAAAAAAACTTGCTGTTGTGGACAAGATGAAACTACAAAACCTACTGCAAAATTAAGCTTTGCTGGTTTATTCAGCAAGTGATGAAGTTCATAACATAATCAATCTGATGCATTCCTTAGTGTTATGCTGCCTGCAGACATCAAAAAATGGTTTCCTGATTCTCCCAAACAATTCAATTTGCTTGAGAAATGTAATTACGCACAACAAAATTCCATCAAGTGGCAATTTTGTGGTTCTTAAACAGTTTTATCACTAAAATTCAATCAAATTTTGTCTGGAAGAGCTTATTAAAAATGAGTGTTGACTGTTTAAAGATATCAAAAATCAGATTTATGCAATATCTTCACACACACACCTCAAAATGTTAACATATCATTAATATCACTGTTTCTATTTTTGCGAAATGTTTGGAAGCAGTGATCAATTTGCCTGAGATGAATTGTAATCCCCGAAAGATACACTGTTACAGACAGTTTGGTCTGCTGCAGAAAAGTTAGGTTGTCAATTTTATAGCTGTTGCATGATTTCTGCAAGGTAGGTGTAACATTTCTGCATAGGAGCCTAATGCTGCATGGTTAGTCTGTTTACTTCCATCAATTGCTGTTCATCTAATTCATAACTTTAGATAGTTTTCCAAATCAGCGCATTTTTTCAAACTGATTGCATCTTAACAGACTTCAGGATAAAACTTATTACTACTCCCTTTGTCAAATTAGCAAGATTGTGCTGAGCAATCTTCATTCATTAATATATATATACCACTTTATCCAGTGTGATTGCTGAGTCATTCATCCATCTATGCACAGTTAGCTGGTAGGAGGATCATGTTCAGTCTTGCCAGCATTCATTTTCATTTATGGTTCTTGCTCCAAAGCATTATCCAGAAATAGTATCTAGATGAAAAATAGTTACCTGGGAAGCATCATATATAGTATTAAAATTTCTGTCAACACTGCTAATTTTTAAAAGGTGTGAACTTTAGAGTAGCCACTTGAAAGGATTGCACAGTGAGACTTTATACTTGAAGACTTTCACTATAACAGACAGGCTAAAATCAACTGAGACCAAAACAGACCTGAAGGCAACTGAAATACTAAGCTACAGAAGAGATATTCCTTATTAACTCCCTACGTACCCTACATTATGTGCACACAGCAAAAATGTAATTCTGTGTTTACAAAGCTGAAGCTCCCCCTGGTTTGGTCTCATCTCTCTGACTCACCGTAATGAATCTTCCAGTGTCCTTTTAGACAATTTGCTCAATTGTCTGACCATAATAGAATGAATATCAACTAGCGAACTACCCTCTGGGAACTCCTTGGGTGTTTAGCTTTCATACTCTTTACTGCCTTAACTGAGAGTTTGTCCATGCCAGCACACTGCTTGATGATTAAACCAAAAGCAGACCTTTACTTCTGGTTGGCATGTTAGTACCTGTTGTGGGTCTTCTCCTCCAAATCTTCCTCTCTCTGTCTCTGTGAGTCTGTAAGTAACAAAGCCAGCAGTTTCCTCCTTGGTCCAGACATTTAAACTTGCATCTTACTGTGAAACATTTTCTATTTGAACTTCTGTCACCATGTAAAGTAGATTACATTGGTGTGCCTTTTACTAGGAGGCCACATCCCCTCCAAAATAACCTACTTTGCTTTGAATCATAGGAGAACACTTCCATCATCAAGTCTCAAAGTAACAAAGACACAAATGAGGATATCAGCTGCAGAGAGATGAGGCAGGCATGGAATTGAGCAACCTAATAGAGGGGAAAGGAGGCACGCTTTGTGATGAAACAATTATATGGTTGGAAACTTATGTTTGGATCAAGCAGAACACTGAGTCATGAAGTCTTGCTAGGCTTAATACAGTAACAAGGGATGGAAATAATTTCCACAAAGTTGAGTTTGTGCAGGAATCAATGGCTTTAGTCCTCATAATATTCAGTTTGAGAAAATTGCTGTTGATCTAAGTTGGGAACTCAATAAAATGTGTGTCACAATGGACAGTGGGGAAGTTGAGAGATGTTGTAGTGAGATAGAATTGAATATTGTCTGTAAACATGTGAAACCTAATGTTATGATTTTGGGTTGCATCGCTAAGAAATAGTATCTAGATGATAAGTAGTTATCTGGGAAACATCAGAGGTAATAGGGTGAGGAGCAGCAAATAACTACTCCAGGTAACTCTGGTTCTGCTCAGAAAGCTAAAACTCAAGGACACAATTTATTTTACTCCAGGGCAATAATAAAAGACACAGATGAGGAAATTGCAGCTGCCATGCTCATTTTTTTTCTCCTTATTTGGGAAATTTATCTTTGATTTTGAAGGTTGGAAAAGTCAGTCAACTACTTAAAAACAAAAAGGGTGGGTGGGAAGGAGTAAGATGATAACTACAACCTGTCAGGTTGTGTTCATCCAGCTCCACACCTTGTTATTTCTGTCAGGTTAATGTTGTCTGGAGGGGGGTGATTGGAAGGTATCATCATGGGAGTGAGAGATCTGTGAGACCATTTGGAGAAGGAGGTGTGACTTTATGAGAGACCTGTGACAGCCAATTGGAGTGTGCTCTGTCAGCGTTTGAGGTAGATGGTAGATGTATGAGAGCAGAGACAGGCTGGGCAATGGGAAACATGTGAGAGTGTGAGGAGGGTGGAACCGTGGTAGTATTTCACACTCTCACGTGCAGAGTTGTTAAGCTCAAAGAGCCATTACATTCTCAGAGCTTGCAGAATTTTGACTCTCGATTTGGAAAGCTATGCACTAGAATGAATACAATAGGGTCGATATGAACAATCTATTGTTTTCCAATGATGAAATCCATAAGGAACACTCTTAAAAGTTACCATGATCTAACTGAATTGGAAAATATGGCCCAGAGATTGAACAGTGTACTTGTATCCCTATAGTCCCTTGAGGGTATGAGCAAATCAAGAACAACAAAGAATTTGTTAAAATTTGCCAGTTGCTCCTTAAGGATCTTTACCGTGAAGGGTGACACAATAAATGAGACGCAGTGGATTTGACATTCTGAGAATTTGTCAAGGCAAGAATGAAGGAGTATTGAGCTTTATTTAAACTTGTTCTTCTTGACCTGGGATACTTTGAACATAACTTAACCAGTATTTGATTGATTGCTTTGAAAAATCACACAGAAAGGCAAAATCTAGTCAGCTACAGATTGTTTTAATGGAAATTCAAATCTATAAAAAGTACATTCATGGAAGCTTGGAAAAATATTCACATCAGCACCCTAGTTGAAATAATTGAAGCATATAAACTGACATCCCATAAACTACAAACTGTTAAGTTACTTGAAAATCAGGACATGCATGACTTCCACGATTCCATTTTTTTTTTACTTATTTTATCCTTAATATTTTAACTTACATGTTTGTATATGTTTTCAAACAGAACAATAATTGAACAAATTTCTTTAAATAACAATTTATTCCAATGTAGATTTTCAAATACATATTATCCACTTCTAGTTTTGTCCCAGCTGGTTTTACATATTCCAGTATTAGAACAATTACATTTTTTTGGAAATGCAAAATCTCATCTGGGCTTTGCTCCCCTTTATTATGGATATTATATAGTTGTCTTATATATTTTAAGAATGAAGTATATTAAAGAAGACATTGTAGTGAATTGATTTTTGTTAGTTTTGCCAATGAAAAGGAATTCTACAACATGAAATTCTATGTTGCCTTCTGAATGCATGTTGAAATGCATCCCTGACATGCTAGTGTGAAATAAACGCACAGATTGTTGTGCAATATGTTCTAAGCTGTACAATCTTGAAATATTTTAAGCCTACTTTAATTTTAGCTGATTATTTATGATGGAATGCCTTCATCTTTATCAGTCAGTATTAATCAAAAGTGTTCATCTTCTGTGCACTTTGACAGGATTGGTATAAATATATGGTTCAAACCCTGGAAGTGTTTGTAACCTGTTGTTTTAGTCATGCGGAATGTTTGAATGTATTAACATTTCAAAACAACCCCAATCTGAGTGTTTATGCCTTTATATTATTTTAAGTAATATGATGACTTAACATATTCACTACCAAACTGGTGTGTTATCCTGACCTCCCAAATTACTACACAATAGTCAGTCAAGAAAATCTTGTGAATTCCCATATTTTAATTCATTAGATTATGGGTGTAAAGGTTGGCTCGAAAACTTTATAAGCATCAAAACAACACTGCATAATAATCTTTTAAATATAAAGATATTAATTCTGGTATATTGGCCCATTTCCTATTTGATTAAACAGCCCGTTACCAGATTATAAAAACAAATGTATTTCCACTCTCCGGAGGGACCATGGCACCTGCAACCATTCCTTTCAGCTCATTAATTCAGGGCTTTGTGTTACTTCTTCATTACAGATCAAATAGTCTGAATTGGGTTTTGTAAGCCCTACTGAAGTGCTGTGTTCAGCCAGACAGTCAAAGATTCTACAAGCGCAGTATTAGCCGAATTTCTCTATGAGGAGAGAACTGATGTTAAATGAATATGGATGGCATAGTCATTTCTTTACACCAATATGAAAATATGCAAGCCACAACAATAGGACATGTAAATGGATTGTTCTTTTGAATCAACTATCCTTCAAAATGGTCAAAGCCTCTTGTCAAGCAAGCTAGTTGCAGACTGCTTATGAATTAATATGGTGCTTCAGTGTTTCAGAGATTCTTAGTGTGAGACAGTTTCCCTACTCCCAACAGGTTGCACAAAATGAGCAGATAAGAGAGCGAGAGAAGTCCCAACCATTCATACAGGAGTTACCTGAGGAATAGTGCCTTGACTTGATCTCTCTTGGAAGATCACTGACTCTTTTTTGAACTGCATGGCTGTTCTTGGGATCTCTAAGGCATCTAAATATCCTATTATGAGGCCTCCTGCGTCACACTAACAGTCTGTCCCTCAAAACATTATTTCAACCAGGAAAATATTCAAGGAATAATTACAAATATGCAATTTTCATCCTATTGCCAACTGCCCTATATCTTCAGACTAAGTTATTGTCACTATTAATCTCCAAAAATATGGGCAGCTCTCCGTTTTAATTAGATTCAGCATTTCAAATACAGCAGCAATAATCTGTTTCTCTCTCCCTCCTTTCAATGATAAAGGAGCCTACCCAAATCTGCAGCAAAAATCAATGGGAAGATGGTGGAGTTATCTAGACCAGTAAAACTCTCTTATAGCTAACTTGCTTACGGGGGTGAAATCCAGCCATTTGTTTTCTGAAAAATACTTACGAAAGGATTTGGAGATAGTAAGAACTGCCGATGCTGGAGTCAGAGATATTTCTGAAGAAGGGTCCCGACCCGAAACATCAGAATTCCTGTTCCTCTCATGCTGCCTGGCCTGCTGTGTTCCTCCAGCTCCACACTGTTTGATAATGTTAGTATCTTCTGACAGAAAAAGATGGTGACATTTGAGTCATTTTTCTCAAAAAAAATGGTGCTCACTTCAAGTAGTGAATATGTTAAGCATATTTAAAATTGCTGTACAAGATGGCTGAATGTAACAGACTATGGTGGTGCTTGCGCTTTTACATGTGATTTTTGGAGAAAAATGCATTTACTCTGTATATCAGTAATAGTAGGGTGCAATGGAATTAAGAAACTTGAGGTCAAATTATTATTAAATGAAAATATAAATTATATAGACTGTTGTGAACTCTTGCAAAACTTTCAAAAATGAAACGTTCCGAAGCAATGTTCCCTCAAACGTCTGGTTGCTATGCTTAGTCAGTTTGTTGTTAGACAAGTCCCCTTTAAGCTTTGTGGGGCCCACTTCTGCACATCTTAAGGGAATGTTGATCGTGCGTAGCCTGTTTGTTCCCTGTGCAACAAATGCCTAGTTGTTGTGTGGCCATACACCTACACAGTTTCAAGGAAACATTGTTCCTATAGTCTTTCCCAGCTGAAATGTGACATTATGACCAAAGTTTGTCATTAATCTTATGAAATTTGGTATAGTATCATTCTTTACCTTTTTTTAACTTCTGACATATTCCGCAGCTAACTTTTTTTCCAAACCTCCAGCTACAAGCCCATCCCTGTGCATGAGTTGGGAAGGCAGTCATTCATAGAGCAAAATGAAGCTTTTAGAAGCTGGACCAGACTCTCTGGTCTTTTGTTCCTCATGATTTACTTTTGTGAATGTTTTAACTTATAAAATTAGGGAAAATTAATGCTATCAAATCTATACAATTTCTATTTATGTCACCCAGTATCAGCATCAATAACAATTCGGTTAGATGTAGAGTAACACTCCCTTTATTCTGTCACAACAACACTTTTTAATCCTTTTTAACACTTTTTAATTTCTATCAATTACTATTAAATCAGAATATTGTCTCGTTTTTGCACTCAGTAAAGGACTGGGAAAAGCTGGTTTAACACACCTCATGGGAGACTCTTAGTACTTTTACCTCATCAATCTGGGATGAACTGAAATCACACTGCCCTTGATGAAACAAAAGAAGGAAAGACTTGCTTTTATTTCATGCCCTTTGAAGTCATTGGCCGGCCCAAATGATTCACGGTAAATGAAGCACTTTTGAAATATAGCTACCACTGGAATGTAGGGAAAATGGTGATCAATTTTTAACTCCAGCTTAAAGATTTAAAGCCAACGCAGAATTTTGAAATAAAATGTCATACATTCTTGGGTTCCAATATTTGTGAAATATACATCTGTTCAGTTTATAATGAATGAGTAACACAACAAGAACCTGTCTGTCATTCTGCTTTTTGTTTGGCAGAGTTTAGCAATCTCACTCATAGAGGGTATAGTGAAAGGTGTATTACAAATGCATGATTAACAAAAGTGCAAAGAAGCTCCTGTTCTTAAAATCTCACACTGTGGAAGTAGGCTATTTGACCCATCCATTCCACACTGACTCGCTAAAGAGCATCCCACATCAGACCTACCACCCCCAACTTGTGACTTTGCATTTCCCATGGCCAATCCACCTAACCTGCACAACTTTGGATTGTGGGAAGAAACTGGAGTACCCCGAGGGCACCGCACAGATATAGATAGAAATGTTCAAACTCCACACAGTCACCTCAAGGTAGATTTGAACCCAGGTCCCTAGTGCTGTGAGGCAATGGTACTAACCATTAAGCCATTGTACTGCCTTGTTTGGAAAACTACAGGAAATTTGGTTAATTTGGACAAAGGATTAGTATTTTGCAGAGAGAAATGCACAGCAATTCACCCAATGAGAGCAACAGTGTTCACGAAACAAAATAACCTTCTTTTTCACAATGAGATTCAATAGGTATATTGGCATTACTCCAGACCAGAAGTTAATCGGCTTATGTCCTGGGCAGTCAATAGCTAGAGCTTCAGCTTAATTAGGTCTGTCACTAGTTGCCAGGAAGATTGTTAAAGTAATAAACTTGTTGTTGGCTTGATTTAACTCAATTTGCCAACATCTTGTCTGTTCCTAGCACATCCATAGGAGTATTACTAGTAAGTGTAAAAGTAGGCAAACAGATCTCCCTGTGTGATTTAAAAGGCCTCATATTGTGAATGGACCCATGAAAAAATGAATTATAATGGATTCTCCTTCTGAGATAAATATCTGGGACAATTTACAATAATTGAATGGCATTGAGGGGAAATGGTTTCCTCATAAAATTTTTTGACAGTTTTGCAATCAGGCCATCTAAACATTTAACTAACAGAATAGCTTCAAATGCTAAATGGAGTCACTTTCTGTCTGAGGTATTGTTTTAGTGCTAGCTATGAACACAATGTACAAAGACCATGCAAATGTAAATAAATTTCTGACAATTTCTTTCTTGCCTCGTTTTACTCCATTGTAAAGGCCTTAAGAATTTAATTGTCTTTGCACACCTATTAATTCTGAAATTGTAACACATATCCAAGTTGTTGTGCCTGCGGTGTTTAGCTGCAGTTCAAATTTGAAACGCTTTTGGGAAATAACATGCTATGTAAATTTTGTGGAAATTTTTGATATTGTGTTATTTTTTTACACCCATGATACAGTCAAGTATGTATCCATAAATGTAGCATTAATAAAACATGGACCACTTATTGTCTTCATTCTGTCCTTTTTGTACACAATACAATAAGAGATGTAGTATGTGCAGTCTTGAGTATGTGTGTTCCATTTTTTTGGTGCAGAAATCTATACTATTTCACAGCAATTGATGACTAAGTGCAAGTTCCTTTTGTTATATTTGCTCAGTGGTTGATGAGTAGTGTGATACCATATTGTATTGTCAACCTAATGTTGAACCCACATTGGAATTTTGCAACGACATGGCCTCCTGACAACCTGAGTAGTGCAATTGAGTCATGCAGTCCAGAAAGCTCACAACTTTTACTTGAAGCCATGTAGAATTAGGAGTGGTAAAGCTACACTTTGCACGTCTCACTCGGAGAGAGAAAAATAAGCCTGGAGTCATTCTCCTAACTGTTCGTAAGTGATTCCAACTGGAAGTGTGCATTTGTAGATGCCAGGATTGTCCTTGGCTGTGATACCTCATTGCTTAGGCTTACAAACCAAATGGGCAAGTGCCTGAAGGTGATGAGTGCTGTGGAATCAACCATCAGGACAAATTTAACAGATCGTTAGGATGTGAAATTGTCCTCCAATGGCTGGAAAATCAAATGTGTCACAAATATGTGTGTACGTGCATTGACACCCAAAACTAATCACGCAACCCAAATTCCAAAACCCTCTTGCTTGGTGTAAAGTTGTACAGTTCAAATCTTACTGTTTTAAAGCAAATCATACATTGCAAAAATGACATTTTAGTTTAAATTGCTTAGGATAATGAGAAAAGAATGGAATTTGGGATTGCTTATTTTGGTAATAATGATGCAACAGAATTCCAAAAAGTTGTTGATGGCAGTCCATTCTAAGGACTAGCAAACGGGAATGATATTTAGTTGGTATTATGTCATGTTCTATGCAAGGTATGGATTGTGGCTTAGCAACAAAATTGTTTATATTTACAATAAATTCTAAGGATAAATCAAATTATTCATGTCACTTATATACCAATTATATTCCTTCTATCTAAACTTGCATTTGTGCACTCCAGTTAGTGCTTTTAAAATTTCTGTTTAATTCACAGTCCCTTAGTGCCTTATTTTCTTTAATGTTGGTAATAAAGTGCTTCAATGCATAAACCTGAAAACCGGCACATGATGTATTGGCAAAACAGCCTTGGGCATATCATCACATGAATTCACAAACAATCCATTCTGTGCATTTTGTTCCATGAGGGCATAAAATTGCCTTCAATTTGAGGCCAACCAGTATATAATTAGTCAGCCAGATCACAAGTGAACATTAACTTGGTTGTAGTAGGAATTTAAATCTTTTAATTGGATGGTAAAGGCTGAACAGTCCAATTCTATACCTGGCTTAGAATTGTTTGAAGTTAGTATTAGCAGTAAATGAACAACTCTCCTGGTATTTCCATATTTTGTCCAAAATATTAAAAAAAAACAGAATTTTACTAAGCTATAATTGATTATAATAAATTATTATATTTGCATTTATAGATAAGTCCTCACTCCTTCATGCTGTTTCTTTATCTAGAAAAAAGCAAAATTTTGATTTGTTATCTAGATAGGGATAAAATAGTTGATACAATGAGTAATGAGACATTTTTTATGTTATTGCTTATGTATATAATACAATTACAAACACTGACCTAAAACTTTGATGTTCCGTGCCTCTGATATGTTAAATTTATGATTTGTGATTTTGTAGGAAGCCTATAACTAAATAAATGAATGTCTACTGTTTTCCCTTACAGGATCATCAGTGTCAATTCTGCCTTGACTTTTACAAAACCAACAGATTCCTGATATTTATAAGCTGTTAAAATAAATAATTTTCAAATTAGGAATAATCCTGGTTACAACAGGGCTTATGTCTTTCCAACTTATTTTGTTAAATGCTAAACTGTATTGTATGTGTCTTAATAAAGAGCCCAATGGAAAAAGAAATCACAAGATATTGATTTGGTTCACCTTTCCCCTGGACAGAACTGTTTCCTTTTCAAGCTCGAAAGAACGGAAGCTGGGAGTTCATTGACCTTCAAAATTAGAACACAAGCAGCTAACCTTTCATTTTAGCAGAATTCTAATTAAAGAGTCTCATGATTCACATTCGTATTGAGATAAAATTCCCCTTGCTTTAATTAATTATCACTATCAGAAGCTGCATTAAAAGCCTCAACCAGTGAGTTGCAGTGAAAATTTAGACAGGCACATTTTATTTGAAAATGTATTAATCTCATAATTATGGTTGTGCAGATTATCAAAATAAACAGCTTCTGAAGATGTTTTGATTTAAATCCATTTACTGTTTATAACTGTTGCAGCAGAGCATTTGCTGAACTAAATTGAAAGTGGTTGCTTTTATTTGAATAGTATGCTCATGTGCTGCAGTTGGTCAATCCTGTTACTGTTCTGGAAAAAAGACAAAAGATTTAAAACTAATATCAATATGATTTATTCTCTGATTTCCACTACTGAGCGTGAAGGGCAGAAATTGTCAATTTTTTTAAGATAAAATGTTGCTGCAGATAGTCTTCAAGAATTAAGCATGTAATTTGAGATAATATCTTGAACTCTTATTTGTATAATAGCTTTACTAATATAAATATAGAGTTGATGGTGGAACTGCAATAAATGGTAGTGATGTATTGGTTGAATATAATAAAGTTCTTTTTCCACATTCCACAGCATTTCAGGTCACCAATGAACTGTATCATGGATTAGTGAGATATCAGTTTGAGACTATTATTTTCCTCATGCCTCATTCACTGAACTACTAGAAACAGTAAAGGAAAATGGACAAATGAACCCAATGTCAGTTTGCATATTTTCTAGCTGAGTGGCACTTTCTGAAAAATTTGAAGCAAGTCCTTAAGTTATCAACTGGCATCAAGTATGTATCCAATAACTGTAAAAAGAAATTTTGTTTTAACTATTGGTTGGATTTTACGGTTAGCTGCGAAGGAACAGCACATTTTCAGTTCACTGACAACTACCGACAATGCTTACACACATGCATTCCAGCACAAAATTTACTCAAATGTAGCGTTGATCCTGTGAGATAGCAAGGACTGCCGATGCTGGAGTCAGAGATAACACAGTGTGGAGCTGGAGGAACACAGCAGGCCAGGCAGTATCAGGGGAGCAGGAAAGCTGACGTTTCAGGTCGGGACCCTTCTTCAGAAATGGGGGAGGGGGAAGCGAGCTCAGAAATAGAGAGAGGAGAGGTGGGACAAAAACAACGCTGCTGGAAAAGCTCAGCAGGTCTGGCAGCATCAGTGAAGGAAAAAACAGAGTTAACGTTTCGGATCTGGTGGCCCATCCTCAGAAACATTAGACTCTGACCCGAAATGTTAACTCTGTTTTTAACTTCACAGATGCTGCCAGACCTGCTGAGCTTTTACAGCAACTTGGTTTTGTTCCTGATTTACAGCATCCACAGTTCTTTCATTTTTTTTTAAGAGGAGGGGTGGGACTGAGGAAGGTAGGTGGGATGGTGATAGGTGAGTGCAGGTAGGCAGTGGTGGGGATTGGTCAGTGAGGTGGGAGGAGCGGGTAGGTGGGAGAGAAGAGCCTGTGAGTTGGCTTCTATGGGTGCTTTGTGACGTCTCTGGGCAGAAGAAAAAAATGGTAAAACTCTTCAGCTAGTCAGATTGAATCCACCCCAAAGTGGACTAGGCAAAATGTTAATCTCCGGGAGCACATGGGTTAGGATGGAGGCTGCGATCAAAACCAACAAATTGGACAGAACACTTGGAAACTGGCTCCACCTTACTGACTCTGTGACTGGTGATTAGACAATGATCTTGTTAGTCACTCAATTCTTTTGACTTTAAAGTCAGGTCCACAGATTACTGGGCTTCCTGAAATGGAGGCGAGTACCCAATGGCAATCGAGAGGCCTGGTAATATTTAATAAATCGCACCTTTTTTTAACTTTAAATGAGAAGGGATTTGGTCATGGTACTCTTACTGAAACATTACTTTCTTCACTTTGAACATTAGTCTGGGTGGCTGCCACATATGGTGCCTGAGAATGAAGCTCGGATGAGAACCATGATGATCAGTAGCAGTAACTGCTGCCGGATTGTCACAGACCTGTGGCTGCATGATCATGAGTGGAGCAATGGAGAGGGTTCCAGCAAGGAGGCACTGACATAAATTAAGGTCTAGAGGCAGCTCGGATCCTCCTTTCATCCAAAGACCAGGGAGGAGGAAGAATAGGAGGAGCTGCATCATAAAGGCATTACATATTCAGATGTCAGGGAAGCCTTTGTCAATGCTTGGTTCTCTTCGTTTAGATAGACCAATGGGAGCCATAAAATACAACTGATATGTCCCATCCTCTACAAAGGCATTTCCACAAAGCAGCCTTACAACCAGTCAGCCATTCCTGCAGCATTCTTCCATTGGTTTTCAACATGTTTGGATGTCACAGCACACATACTCAAGAATGTTCAAGTCAAGGGAGTGGTAAAGAAAATAACATCTAAGAGAGCTAAATAAACTCACTTATGTCAATATGCTTGGGGAATTACAAAACCTATTTCATTTCTCTGTTAATGTTCATTCATGGCACCATCTCTGAGGCTTCAGCATAGATAAAGGCAGTTTGCTCCAATCCATTTGCTCTGTATGTCTGTCTACTGAGGTACTCTTGGTTGACATCCTTTGGGTTTTTGAGCTTGTGAGGTCCCCACCAAAAGCTGCTCTACTTGCCTTCATTACGAGGTTAGACTAGGACATTGGGAGGTGAGTCAGCAAGGATTCTACTGACTTAGGAATGGGTTGTGGGCTAGAAGTGTTTGAGCATTGAGAGGTGTTCCCATTTCTATGGCCATCGTCCTTCTTTTGATTCAGCTACAGTTCACTGGTAGCATTCTGTTGGAGAGCACTCTAGTTTAAATTTAAAAAAAGAGGCATTGTAAGGTTAATGCTAAGGAATCCATCAGTCTTTCCAAGGTGGTAGACATGTTAGTGTCTAAAGTTTTTATCACGGTGTTGAAGGCATCCATG